TTTTGAATTTGTATGCTGTTTCTTGTGCTAAAATGACCTGCTACGAGTTGTCACCTCACGTTTTTTTTAGACCAAATTTCCGATAAGTATTAAAACATTTTGAAATTTTTAACAATTTAAATTTATTTTGTTAAATAGAATTTTCTGATTTTCAACGGAATAAGAAAGAAAATATGTATTTTCAATTTTGCACTGGTTTACAAAATGTGAAAATAGTTCTAGGGTTATCGCAATTTATGCAAAACCTCGCTTTGTCTCTGTTTCAGATTCAAAGTGACTCGCTCCCTCATTGAACTAACGGTGAGGGGTGGTCTGGCTTTGCTTTAGAATTAAAGTTAATATCATTTTTTATACAAAAAATTCAGGAAACGCTAGTAGTTTTTGTCTAGTTTAATCAATACTGTCATCCAGAGGCGAATTTATGGTGGGCGGGGGACATATAGAGGCCACTTTACCAGGAATTCGAGAAATTTTGCATGTCTTTTCAAAAAATCCAGCTGCTTCAGACCTATTTAGAAAAATAAATCTTGATTATGTTCTGTGAGAGCTCTGAAGTTCAATCTGATCCACCTAAATTTACTATTTTCTATACAGGGCAGATTGATTTTCCGAGCTCTCCCAGAACATTATCAAGGCCCCATTTTGCAAAACTTATTGAAGCAGCCGGATTTTTGATGAAGCATGCGAAAATTGTCGAATGGCTAGAAAAATGCGTCTATATCTCCCCCGGTTATCATAAATCCGCCTTTTGTTGATGACATCTTTATTGATTGAGCTGGATCAAAAATAATATGGTTTCCTAGTTTTTCTGAAAATTATATCAGCGTTTTTGTTGGTATCATTTTTTCAATTCAATAATTCAAATAAGACAAAAAGCAGTGCGTTTGATTTTCACCTGATATGAAAAGAGCCGTCCTCAATTACCGAAAATTACTCTTGCCCTCAATGCTTTTATTCAATAGAAGTTCAATTAAAGAGCCTCTCAAATGAAAGATCAACAGAAAATGAATGTAATCCATTGATCGCTGATATACAATTCGAATTAATGTTTTTTGTTGGCGCCATCAACAATTTACAAAATCGTATCCTGGCCAATGCTTAGCGGTAATGGCTGCGATAATCAAAGCTGATTTTACTTATTTGACCCATTTTTGGAAATATCAAAAAATTTCATGTTAAAAAAATGGACCAGCAATTGCGATATAAAATTGTACTAATTTGAATAAAGATACGATCGTACCCTAAATCTACTTGAAAATGCTAAATTTTACACAGAGGCGAAGATGCACTTTGCATACACAAAAGCAAAATTATGACCGATAACGCTACTGGGAAAAACTGAATGAGCTAAACCGTTAGTCAACAAGATTTCTTAAGTGACGCACGCCAATTATGATGCATTAGCAGTACCAGTTAATTTGAAAAAAAACATCGAAATATACCAACTAACATGTCTCAATTTATAGAGCAGTCTATGGAGCAGTAATAACCTGAAAAAATTAAATGTAATAAAAATAAATGAAAACTTTTTTTTAATTTGAATTTTTTTGTGAAAATCATCACCCACACGCAATATTAAGTCCAAATTGATCAGTTTCGGTTCTAGTAACAAATTAGTTATGGTAAACAAGCTACCTTCAACCAATTTGGAACGATTTCTTTGACGGTTTCAATCTATGCTTACGCGCTAATAGCGCGAAATATATCACGCATTAATTGTCCCAAATTGGCCAAAATAGCAATTTTTTAACCCCCACAACTTTACAAAAAATGATCACAGGTGAAATATCTTTCCAAATTTAAGCTCAAGACAACAATACTTTTTGAACCATATCAAAAAAAATTCCGTCAAAAAGGGCTAGTTAAAAAGTCGAAATTTGTCTGAAGAAAAAAAAACACCTCGAGCACAAATATTCCGTTACTTTCGTTATGAAAGTCGGAACAAAAATTGTCTGTCTTAAAATTTTCAGCATCGATTGTACTTAATAGCTGGTATTTGATCAAAATGAACACTTTCAAAATGAACACATTTCATCGCAACAATATTCGTGTCGCAACAATTTTGCGACTTAGGTTTAAAAAAAAAGATACTCTATACTTTAACACAACCATTGGTTTTGTAGTAAGCTGTGTTTTTCATTGCCCATAATAGCTCAATAATAGTAAAAGATGTGAGGAGAAAAACATACAAGTTTCGTTCAAATCAGGGTGAAGCCTCGATTTCTCGACGTCTTTTAACGTCTCTGGAGTACTGCTCGAGTTGAAAAAAATATATATTGATTTGAAGCTGCACTATTCTTTAACCAGATATAATTTTAACTTGTTTTTAGATCCCACAGCAACAAAAGTATCAAAAAAACTTCCCTTCTTCCGGATTCTGCGGTAATGCTCGTAGCTTTGCAGCATGACCCACATGCTACGCGAAAATGTACAATCTGGCCTCGTGTTTGACTCAAAAATTGTTTCAGTAAAAAGTCGTAATTTGTCTGCAGATTAATTCCGAGCGCAAAGATTCATCACGTTTTTCAAATGCCGAAGTGATGAATAAGTACTATAACAAAAAAAAACAAATTGACAAAATTTTCAAATATCTTTGAAAACCATTTGATTTGTTGGGGAAATAAAATGTTAAATTTCGCCAACTAAGAGCTCTCCCAGAACATTATCAAGGCCCCATTTTGCAAAACTTATTGAAGCAGCCGGATTTTTGATGAAGCATGCGAAAATTGTCGAATGGCTAGAAAAATGCGTCTATATCTCCCCCGGTTATCATAAATCCGCCTTTTGTTGATGACATCTTTATTGATTGAGCTGGATCAAAAATAATATGGTTTCCTAGTTTTTCTGAAAATTATATCAGCGTTTTTGTTGGTATCATTTTTTCAATTCAATAATTCAAATAAGACAAAAAGCAGTGCGTTTGATTTTCACCTGATATGAAAAGAGCCGTCCTCAATTACCGAAAATTACTCTTGCCCTCAATGCTTTTATTCAATAGAAGTTCAATTAAAGAGCCTCTCAAATGAAAGATCAACAGAAAATGAATGTAATCCATTGATCGCTGATATACAATTCGAATTAATGTTTTTTGTTGGCGCCATCAACAATTTACAAAATCGTATCCTGGCCAATGCTTAGCGGTAATGGCTGCGATAATCAAAGCTGATTTTACTTATTTGACCCATTTTTGGAAATATCAAAAAATTTCATGTTAAAAAAATGGACCAGCAATTGCGATATAAAATTGTACTAATTTGAATAAAGATACGATCGTACCCTAAATCTACTTGAAAATGCTAAATTTTACACAGAGGCGAAGATGCACTTTGCATACACAAAAGCAAAATTATGACCGATAACGCTACTGGGAAAAACTGAATGAGCTAAACCGTTAGTCAACAAGATTTCTTAAGTGACGCACGCCAATTATGATGCATTAGCAGTACCAGTTAATTTGAAAAAAAAAACATCGAAATATACCAACTAACATGTCTCAATTTATAGAGCAGTCTATGGAGCAGTAATAACCTGAAAAAATTAAATGTAATAAAAATAAATGAAAACTTTTTTTTAATTTGAAATTTTTTGTGAAAATCATCACCCACACGCAATATTAAGTCCAAATTGATCAGTTTCGGTTCTAGTAACAAATTAGTTATGGTAAACAAGCTACCTTCAACCAATTTGGAACGATTTCTTTGACGGTTTCAATCTATGCTTACGCGCTAATAGCGCGAAATATATCACGCATTAATTGTCCCAAATTGGCCAAAATAGCAATTTTTTAACCCCCACAACTTTACAAAAAATGATCACAGGTGAAATATCTTTCCAAATTTAAGCTCAAGACAACAATACTTTTTGAACCATATCAAAAAAAATTCCGTCAAAAAGGGCTAGTTAAAAAGTCGAAATTTGTCTGAAGAAAAAAAAACACCTCGAGCACAAATATTCCGTTACTTTCGTTATGAAAGTCGGAACAAAAATTGTCTGTCTTAAAATTTTCAGCATCGATTGTACTTAATAGCTGGTATTTGATCAAAATGAACACTTTCAAAATGAACACATTTCATCGCAACAATATTCGTGTCGCAACAATTTTGCGACTTAGGTTTAAAAAAAAAGATACTCTATACTTTAACACAACCATTGGTTTTGTAGTAAGCTGTGTTTTTCATTGCCCATAATAGCTCAATAATAGTAAAAGATGTGAGGAGAAAAACATACAAGTTTCGTTCAAATCAGGGTGAAGCCTCGATTTCTCGACGTCTTTTAACGTCTCTGGAGTACTGCTCGAGTTGAAAAAAATATATATTGATTTGAAGCTGCACTATTCTTTAACCAGATATAACTTTAACTTGTTTTTAGATCCCACAGCAACAAAAGTATCAAAAAAACTTCCCTTCTTGCGGATTCTGCGGTAATGCTCGTAGCTTTGCAGCATGACCCACATGCTACGCGAAAATGTACAATCTGGCCTCGTGTTTGACTCAAAAATTGTTTCAGTAAAAAGTCGTAATTTGTCTGCAGATTAATTCCGAGCGCAACGATTCATCACGTTTTTCAAATGCCGAAGTGATGAATAAGTACTATAACAAAAAAACAAATTGACAAAATTTTCAAATATCTTTGAAAACCATTTGATTTGTTGGGGAAATAAAATGTTAAATTTCGCCAACTAAAATTTTGGCCAAGGCTATGTGGCTGACGCTGATCAAAACTGCAAATGTGAGTGAGCAAAACTTGAAATAGCGAGTCTGCAAACTAATGCTTTTACATGTGCATGCTAATCGACGCACATGCTAATAGGCCGGCCCCCGCCCTTTAGATCGCGCTAATTATCTAAAAACCGAACGAAACATATCGCGCTAATTATCTCAGATTGATAATTGGCCGTATTGCCAATGTTCAAAGCCCCGTAATGCTACTAAAAGTGATTGCAGATAATATATCTTATCTAATGTAGCTCGCCGTCTTGTTTTCAATTTTGTCTGTTTCAGGAGACGGCGAATTGTGATCATGTGTATGATTTCCACCGCTTCCTTCCTTCTCGCCTGGGTGCCCTACGCTGTATTGGGCATGTTCATGATATTTGGAATCCCCTTCGGTTAGCATAATTTCATGTATTGATCCGACTTCAACACCGATTGGTTACCAACACCTAATTTCCTTTGCTTCTAGGCAGCCATCGATGGCAGAAACCAAACGAGGCTCCCCTGTTCTTTTTTAGTATTTTAGTAATTTGATCTAATCGCAGCTTGAAACTGGTCTTTTTTTTGGTGCCTCTTCGAGAAATCAGTTATCACTTTTTGGTTCACCGACATTAGGTTTTTTCGAGAAAAAATGATGCCGGGTGATGGATTTAAAAAACTGGGTCATTTGAAACCAACGACGCACATATTTTTTTTGGAAGTACACATATCCTGTAAAACTCAAATTAGAGTTTGCCTTGCTGCATGTCATTAATGAAAAATAAACAAATAAAACATATCAAATACAGGTCGAATTAGTTCAGACGCGTTTTTTTTTCTGTTATTGATGCATGTTGCAAAAAATGAAATTTCAATAAGACCTTTATAGGTTTTGTAAACTTCCCTTTTTGCAGCAAAATTAGTTTTTTTGCCACCTTTGGTATTTTTTGTAATGCTCGAATGCATTCAGGTTCGTATCTAGGATTTTCTCGAGGGGGGGTTTTAAAAAATTCAAAAAAATTTGCCAACCTTTTTTAAGTTGGTCAAATTGATTGACAAAAATTTTCGCGCCAGAGCAGTATAAAATCGTTTTGACCAAAAATTCGTTTTTTTTTCGGCCCGCCTCCCCCTACAAATTAGTATATATTGGTGACGAAGGCGCCCTAAGAAAATTTCAGGGTTGGTCAGCCAAAAATGGATGTCATAAAATATTACCAAAGGGACAAATTTTGGTTGGTGAGGGGGTCGAATCCTTGAGGGGAAGAGGCATCCGATCCCCCCCCCCCCCCAAATCCACCCCTGGATGCATTTTTCCAGTAACAAAATGCGATTTTGCTACTGGAAAAATTTATGAAAAAACATAGTCAAAAAATGTAGTTTTTACTATATAAAACCCAAAGTTATTGCTTAAAAACAAAATTTAAACGTTTTGTTTTGCGCAAATTTTTGAAAGACTTTACTCTGCTAAGATTTTTTTGAGCTATGTAAAAGGTTTCTTTTGGTATAAATTTTTAAATCAATTAACTTGGTACTTTCAGCGCAATTTTTGATGTTATGTTTTGAATCCTCAAAATTGCACCGTATTAATTCTGTTAAATTATTTAGCAACTTTTGTGCACTTTTCTTTTTGTCTATTATTAACGCAATAATGCGAAAAACGCGTTTGAGTTTTCTAGTTTTGGTTCATTTTGTCTGGATCATTTAAATCAGCACTGAATTTAAGTTATGAGAGAATTTTACAGAAGCAAATCTAATTCCGTGACTTGTAACTGGTCTTGACTGGAATGTTTTTTGGGGCCTCAAAAATTTTACTTCAGGATTATCTCGCGTTTTGGAATTTGCATTTGTTTATGGCTGGTTTTAGTATCTGTTAATCGCTCCTTCTGTTATACGAGAATCTTCTTTCTGCATCTCAAAGTACCAGTTTATAATTAATTTTCTAATTGAAAATACACAAAATTTTCACATAAGTCATCATACGCCCTTATTCCATCGATCAGAACTACTCCATCTCAAAGTGTCATTGCTTGTTCGACCAAAACGCCCGTCCGAAAATGCTTCAAATCGCTGATAAAACCAGTTAATTAGTCGCGGAGGTCTAACTGATCCGTTCTTTCCAGGAACAAAATGATTCTTTGTTCCGACCATTGGAAAAATGTGGAGGAACTTTGTTTTCGAGTGTTTTTTTTTATTTTCCACGCAAAATCAGTATCAAAACAATTTAAAATTTTTTGAATAAATTTTTTCAGTGTCGAGAAAAACCAGTTTGAAGTTTCTGATTTTAGTCGAAACTCAACCTAATAAGTTGAGCGTGAAGGCTTGCATTAACCTGTTTATACTTAATTTAAGCCGTGAAAACTAAATTTCATTTGAGTAAAGTCAGTTTTAGTAGTTAATTAGCGCCAATTTTGTAATCAAAATTCAAAACTTTTCTGCAAAAAAAAAGAAAACATTGAAATTTTGTAACAATTTTTTTTCGTTTTTCTAGTCATTTTTCGATAAAAACTGTTTTCCAATTGGCCTATTTTATTTGCATTAAAAATTTCAATATCAATTTATTTCCATAAGTTTCTTGTATCGAAATGAAAAATAGATTATATGTTGTTGTATGTTAATTGATCATTGTTAGCCTGATGAACTACACGAGCGGGTCTGAATAAATTTCAAAAATATTTTTTCTCATTTTAAAATTGAACAAATTAAAAAGAAAACGCTATAACTTGAATGCATCGATAGTTTGATAAAATGGCCTTTGAAGACAGTGCTCTTTTACTTTGCAATTACTTTTAATCATGATGTGCCGACTTTGTTACAGTTGTTCACGCAACAGTTTTTAAGCCATGTTGGTTGGAAAAAAACGCTACTTGAGATACTTCGATTTACTTTGTTTTCACAAAAGTTCAACAAAAAATTTCTTACCATATAGTGCAAGGGAGCGCGGGTATCCTTTGATATGTTAATACGGTTAAGACGGTTCATCCACAAGGGAATGGTCCAACATACGAGCTGTTCAGCTTATCTCGGAGAACCGCTGTTGTGCCCCTGCTTATAAACTACAGGCAATTTTTTTGGGGTGGGTAATATTGCCTCTCCCTCAGTCAACGAGAAAGGCTCATGATGGGCCTCGAACATCCGACCATTCGATTGAGAGGCGGAGACGTAATCACAACTGCTCCCTACAAAAAAGATAGCAGATGAAAAAAAGAAACAGGTTTATAATGCTCAGATTATCCATATCGAGAGAATGATGTTCAATTAAATTTATTACTTTTCCGAGCACTAGGTCATATTGTGAACAGCTGATGTGACCAGTCAGAAAAAACGATAAGCAACAATTAATGAAAGTTTTTCTGTTTTTCTATCAAATGGAAAGAAAACAGAACCACTGGTCGCTTCACGCTCAAGCTCCCCTCGTTACAAAATGAGTACGCTGGAACCGGCAAACTAGATGTTACTGCTTTTTTTCAGGTAAAGTTTTCTCATTGACTGCAAACACGATCGCGAAGACATCCTGCATCTACAATACACTGATTCTGCGACATGCCAGCGACACCTCTGCCCCCACAACAACCCCCGTCAACTCTCGGCGGCGTGCGAACGGAAACAACTGCCCAAATAACAATCCTTCGAATGAAAGCTGGGTTCGACGTATGATCAACCGAATCAGAAGCTGCCCATCTTCAGCTGTGAGTCTAGTCATCATAAATTTTCCAGTTTTTAATAAACTAAAAGACAAGATGTTGGTGAATCAGCTTAGCGAAAAACATCCGACTTTTCTTCTGTTTGCTGATTATTTGATCGATACTCTCACAATCTTCTATATTTGTATCTAGTAATTTTTGTGTATTTACTTTTTTTAGTTGCATCGATTAATGCCAACTTGATGTATCCATATTTTTTGACTGCGACCTGTCGGAATTAAAAAATCTAAAATCTGTCCGTGCATGAGCAAACATCAATGAAGGCACTGATTTAGTTTTTCCATTTTTGATGATTATTATCCTTTATGAAATGAGAGCTCAAATTTATCATTTTTTGCTTAGCTGGCTGACGATTGCAAAAATTTTAGAGCACGCTCTCTGGTTTCAATTTGACTTATTCCTGACAAAGGCAGGCATTCTTACAAGTTTTGCTGCTGTCAAGAAAATTGTATGAAAATTTTGGAGATCCTAAATTTTCAAAAAAAAACAAATTTTGTTTTAAAAATAATATCAAAGTGAAAGCAAACATACAGTAACGCATTAAATAGTCCAAAAACCATAGCTCAATTTGAAACGTTTTTGAAGAGAGATTAAATATCCGCTGACACGTTGACAGTTGGCAAAATTTAAACCTCGATCAATAACTTTACGAAAAATTATCACAGTAGTTTACTTTGTTCACAGGACTCATTTATCTACTGGGCGTTATTGTTGCATTAGACATGTTTTGAGCATGGTAGCATTTTAAACATGGGGCCTAATTTTACCGACTCAATTTGTTGAAGTTTCAGGTCTCTTTTTTCTGTTCAATAGATTTTGGCTTATTTCAAAGCATTTTTTTGGCTTCTTATTACGTTGTTCGCTTGACTACCGAAAAAAAACCTGTGAGTGTTCGTGTTCTTAGGAGAAGGGGGACTTTTTTCTAGTTTAGAATTTTTTTCGGTTTAAAGGGTTTCTGTTCAGATTTTTTCGGCTTTTTTGCCGCTTGACAATTATAAATTCAAATTGAATCAACCTCCGTTACATTTGCTATAGAGGTAACACAACTGCCTGAGACAGAAAGCTTGTAGCTCGTTTCCAAACGCGCCCTGTTTTTTTTGTGCAAACTGGATTTTTGTGCTTTTTGTACTTTTTCGGACTACCCTCCTTCTGTTTAGTTTTTTCGACTTTGCTCCCGTCGCCCGATTTTTTGAAGATTTTGTTTTTTTGCAACATGCTGTAACAGCTATGCTTGAGATGACAAACTCTGGGATTTTGATTTCAGTCGATACCTGTTTATTTGGCAACTTGAAAACTTTCGGCTTGCTTAGATATTGTTCTGTCTGCTTGTGTTTCTAGGTTTATTGCTACAGAAAATATTTTTTCGAAAACTTGGTTTTTTTAGCATTCTGAAAGCTCCTTGTGATGTTTCTAGTGGTGCGCGTATTTTTGCTCATGATATTTTGCGCTTTTGTTGCAATTCTTACGATTTATTTTTTTTGAAGATTTTTTTTTCACTTGTTTATCCAACCCACAACTAGCACAAAATGCTACAATTAGTATGACTTAAAAAGATAATTTTGAAAATGTGGATTTAAATAAGTTTTTTTTTGAGAAAATTCTGAAATATTTCAATTTTTTTTTATTCTAATTGGTTAAATCAGTGAAAAAAAAAACTGATCAAAGAAAAGCTAAAAGTTAAAACCTCAAGGGGCATTGTCGTTGCAGCATTTGATTTTTGGTAAAAAGGTCAAAAATCAAAACGGATTCACGTTGGATCACAAGGTTTAGATAAAAATCTATTGAAAAAATTCATAAAATAGAAAATTGATAGAAACAATTCCAAAAACTCCAATGCCGGGTAACTTGTATGAGATAGAAGTGAGGGGAAATGAACACGTTTGTTGTGTTTGCCGCTATCAGTTTTCAAACAATTGTACCTCTACAATAGCGATAACTCAGTAACCATATGATTTTCGAAAACAGAAGTAAAATGGATCAAACTGCCGACAATATTGCAAACATACGTCAAAGTTTTAACAAATAGAAATCTAAAAAAAAACAAAGTTTAACGAAATGTCCAAGATTAATTACGAATTCACAAAATTTGAACAGGTAAGTGATGCTAGGCAAAATTTACTTGAGTTATCGGTACTTTTACAGGGCTGATCTCCTGATGGAAGATGTAAAATTCTCAACCAATGAAAACTCTTAGACGTTCCTATTGGCTAAACAGCTTTTACACAAGATTAAAATCAAATCTAGTAGAAACAATTCGTGTAGATATCTAATAAATGTTTTATTTTGTTTTTCATTTTTTAGAAGCAAGTATCATTCAAGAATTTAATTGTTTCCAAAGCGTCGTAGATCTGACCAAACTTAAAAGAACTCATCTGTTTGCTTGTTCAGTCAATGTGAGTTTCAATGGCTGGATTTATTTGTTCCGTTTGAGACTTTTGCGATTTATTTAGGATTTTTGCTCACTGAGTTCTGATTGGCTGAAATAACTTTTCCAATATTCATCATAAGTTATTGAGTGTTTTTTGTAATAGAATGCTTGATTTCAGAAAATTGGATTTCTGATTGACAGAATCGAGCTGAGCTTTCTTTCAAAAAGTAAAATAATTGAAGGGTGGCGGCCCTCAAAAATCAATTCAAGCCGTTAATTCTGAAGTACCATACGACAATTTTATGAATATAGCATTAAAGAATCTATCCGCAATTTACCGTTTTAAAGTTGTCTATATGAACCTCATTGTTCCGACTTTTGAAGAAAGTGCAGAATATTTATGCTTGGGATGGTTTTTTAAAATCAATTTTCGTTTTTTTAACCAAGCATTTTTGACCAATTTTTTTAATTCAATCTGAAAAAATATTGTTTCCTGGGCGTAAATAATAAAATTTTCACCTGTGATCCTTTTTTGCGAAAAAGTGGGGACTCGAAAATTGCTTTTTTTGTGCAATTTGGGAGAATTAACATGCGATATATTGCGTTCTAATAACATGCGTACGTGGCGGATCAATGCATTTGAAAATAAATTAAGGCAATTCATTTGTTACATATTAGAATACAAGCAGTTAAATACGTCCTTTTGTAGATAAACTTAAATTAAAAAAAAAAACATTTAAAAAAAAACTTTTTTTTTTCGTTTTTTAAAGTGTTTTTTGCGTCAAATTTTCAATCGAAAACTTTCTAAATTGGCCTGAAAGTGCAGTCGGAACATTCCGGGTTTCGCTCTGATATACGAGCAATTCAATTTTTAATCCAAAATTGAGTTGTATTGATTTATCCAACACTTGTACTGAACTTGAACTTTGACCGAAAAGTCAGAGGTCAGGAACAGAACCGACACGAAAACTTCGTCAAATCACAACTGACAGTTTCATGCTAATTTGCTTTGACCGATAAAATGCTCTCTGAATTGAAAAGAAATTTGGTCTGAATTGTTTTACTGATTAAACTAGGCTTGAATACCAATTTTCACCATATGCTGTAAGTGTTCCTAACTGCGTGAAGCTATAAGAATTAACATCCGAGTTAGGAAAATTTTCATATTGAAAAAGTGAATTTGCTTAACTGTTTCTCTGTGTTTTTTTTTTAAATGGTCCGGTATAAAACTCAATGTATGCTGCTCTTATAGCAGGTTTATCCAGTTTCCTCATAAATGCATGTAATTTATGTTTTTCTTTGTCTGCTAATTGCGTTTTGCATAACGGAGTTTCTTTGCATTTGACATGAGACAATTTCAAAGTGAGTTTGATTGGGTTTATTCACTTGACTGTGAATAAAGACCAGTGTTCGACTAATCTATCCGATACCCCTAGGGTTGTGTATACCACAGACACTATATGCTCGTGTCTGTTTCTTATTAGGTGCAGGACCTCCTGATTGATGGTCCCTTCATGTGCTAAGGTATGGCCGTTTGAAAAGTAACTCTTTCCTTCTAAAGACCATCTTTCTCGAGACCAAAGTTTAGAATAATCAGCAAATTTGTGGGACAATATCAAAGCCTTTCATTTCAAAGCCCGAACTAGGAGGTTGCCAATTAGTAGTAGATCAACTCCCTAATTACAATGAAAACTGTTAAACACTCACTGTTCCCTATAAGTGTCCCGACTTTCGAAGAAAGTGTTGGGATATTTGTGCTTGGTGTTTTTTCATTCGAAAAATTTGGAACTTTTGACTGAGAGTTTTAGACGTGATTAGTTTACATAAATTTATGGGGTCTGGAAAGCTTGCCAGTTTGATCAATATCATTTGTTAACTAGAAAAACTGCTATTTAATATGGCTCAGAAATCAATCTTAATTAACATATTTCGCTTCTGCGATACGCGGAAGATCTATCAAATGTTAAGCAGTCTGTCTATTGACATTCAGTTACTGGTTTTTGCCAATTTTGAGACTTAGTAATCCCGGGTTGACCTCCATAGACCAAAAATACTAATCATACCATTCCACAAACTGGGTCTATGAAAAAATATTATTCATACAAGATTTATACATATTGCTAAAACGGTGTCATCGAATTTTCAAAGAATTTTTTTCTTGTTTTGGCATAAAATTCCGTGTTTTGTGCTAAATAAAAAGAAAATTTTTTGTCGGAAAAATCCTAGTCATACAGTTTCTATGTATAGAAATTGTATGACTAGCTTTTTTTTTGAAGGCGACAGCAAATAATTTTTAACATAATTTTGAAATTACCACAAAAGTTTTTTCAACCGCGAACCAAATTTTTTACTCAAACAATTATTTTCCCACAAAAATTGGATTTTTTTTTCCGTTTTTCTGGATAATTTTTTTTCAAAAATGCTCATCATTTCTTTTTTTTTGCATGGTATGTTTATGTATGCCTTGGTTAAAGTAAAACTCAAAATTAAAAAACGATCATCTTTCAAAAATTTTGCCAAAAATAATAGTTTGATTCTTTCAGTATATGATCTGTGTACCACAATTCTTAGACAATTCAAGTCGTTTCCAATGCTGTTGGTGATTCTAATTTTGAGTAAACCATAGTTTGTGTCACTTGTGTTCGGTTACGATCACACCCCAAAAATTTTAAGAAATTAAATTTTAAAGAATCGAATTTTTCGGTTTATGAAAAATTGCTAGTCATACAAATTCCATATATGAAATTCACTAATCATAGGCCTTTCATGCAACTCTCTTATTTTATGGAATCGCGTCAAAAGTGGATGCTTAGCATTTTTCCTTAAATGAAAATTATATGAGTAGCATTATTGGTCAACCCGGGATTTTGTATAGCGAAATAAGTTTTGTTTGTACCATGGCTGCTGTGTTTGCATCTTACACTATCACAGCTGAAATTTTAAAGTTTTGCTGGACCTAAAGTTATAATTTGAGACTTTTTTATCGCGCTCTATTATTGCCATGGCAATGAATCGAGTACCTGATCTGACGTGTTCAAAGCGAACGCCTTAAAACTATACTAAGCGCCTAAAATTATAAACGGTTAAAATTTTAGCTTAAAAGTTTTTTTCTGATCATATTAAAACATTAGTAGGGGCAAAAGATACCAATTTATAATTTCATAGCGTAAGAAAGATTCTTTATAAAAACATTTTATTAAAACAAAAGAATCAAAATCAATCTAATTATTGAAGAACAATTATTGGTTTTTTTAACTAAGTAAAATTTTTGACTTTAAATGCCAGTCAAGAGATGCGGGTTCCAACTTTGATACATGTAGCAGGGTAACGTTATCTGGTAAATTGCATAGAAGGCATCACTTGCCAGGCCTTGTCTTTTTCTATAGTAGAATTTCAATAATGTTTTTTAAAGTTATTCTAAAATAAATATTAAAAAAACTGCAATACTCCATATCCTTTTTTTAGGCTGATTTTTAACTAAATTAAATCAGGAAATTGCAAGTGTAACCATGAACACAAAAACTTCAAGCTTCAAGGATTTTTTTGTAACAAAACGAGCAAGATAAATGTTTAAAATTCAGATTGATAGATGTTCTGGGCGTAATTGACAAGCTTAAAGGATGCATACACTATAAACACTAGATTCACAATTTTAGTTTTTGGCCTTCTCGAATTCTACAATGCGCTTTATATATCTCAAAAAGGTCAGGCAAGAAACCTTTTTTTTGGCATCGCTTTTTTCAATCAGGCGCGGATCTAATATTTTTCGTGGCCGGATATAAATTTTCAAAATACTCTGCTGAAATTTTTTTGCGCCGCAGGCAAATTGATGAAAATGGTCAATGTTTCATTTTTAGGCATTTTTGGAGGGTTTTTACCCAAAGAATTGCGTTTTTGACGCACTCTCTGTACTCAAAATTGAAATAGTTTGAGCCACATTCAAAATAATACATCACGCGACCTCGTCATTGTGATTTTCGGTAGCTGTTACTCTTGAAAATTTATCAGAAGTCGGGTTGAAAATAGTATGCGTTGGAAAACACCGGCCAAGTAGAATTTCTCACAATTGGCATTGAATGAGATGCTATGTCAATGACAGATTTCACTTTTGATTTCTCTAAAACAATATGAAATAGAAAGTTCAACAAAAACTGATTGACAGGAAAACACCAAAATAACTGTAAATAATGACATTTTAAGAGGGTGAGAAATACGAAGTGCTGTGTGAGAGTGTGATTTATGAGTTCTTTAGATTTCTGTTTGAAAATCGTCCGAATTAATGGTGAATCCAGGTTTGGGGGATGGGGGGTTCAAATGAGTAGTTCTGAATATTGTGCTGGCTTTTTATTCCGGATCGATCAAACTGATTTTTCCAGCTTTCTACTTGGAGTATTTGGCACCAAAGGCGCCTTTAATACAAATTTAGAGTGAGTCGGTCAAAAACAAAACGCATAAACTAGTAATAACTAATGGGGGTCAGTTGGTCTTTTTGGTTGGTCAGTTAGTCAAATCCCTGAGTTTCAGTGAATCTGCCCCTGGCCTGGATCTTTTGAAACACCTTTCAATTTTTATCCGTAGCAAAAATAATAAAATAATTTTCTTTAGCCTCCGAAACTGTCGTTAACGGAAATGTTCATGCGTGGACAAAGCTGCGCGAAGACATCTACAGTGACTCAAGTATTCGCATCTAACAACACTGGATTAGCCGTGCCATACATTAACTCGTCAATCTCGGTATCGACTGAAAAAGTGGCGCTTCCGAAGATAGTCGAAGCTGACGACATAGTCCGAGGGGGAGTTATATTGGAAGAAAACGAAGAAGAAGTTATCATTGCTCGTCTTCGCGAGCCGTTCGTACAGTCTTCGATCAAGCCTTCCTTTGTAGTTCTCGGAATGTGCGACGACTATAATAGTGTTTGTGTTGACGATCCTATGAAAACCTCTGCTCTGTAGATGTGACAAACAGTTTTAAGATGAAGAGGATAAACTGACAGGAGCTCTGATAGCTTTAGCCTCCAAGTTTGAACCTCCAAACTCAATATTTGTCGAGCACCATAAAAATGTTTGGTTTACTTTGGAGCTTATCTCAAAATTTTTAATATCCATAATCCAATAACCGGAGATAATCATTATATTTGCTTAGCGCGTTTTTTGTTTACTCTTATTCCAGGATAATCATTAGAGCCATAAAAGGTTGAACTTGTAAAGATAAAGCTACCGTGGTAGATGTTTCTTTTGAAACCTCTGCGCGCTTTACCGATTTTTTTTGAAGACGGCGCTATTTTTATGACTATTTTTTATTAATACTGAAGTTGAACTCATTCAAACATATCGAGGTTGCAATTTAGTAGTTGAAATTTTATACGGCCACATTTGGGCTAAGAATTTTTGTTTTCCCAACAAAATGTAATTTTAAAATTGATTCGTTTTATGTAAAGTAGGTATAAAATTCAGATTTGCCCCGTTATTTTAATCGACATAACTTGCGCTCCAGGCAGATTTTACTGCCATAATATTAAGATTAGCATATTATAAGTATACTAAGATAACCGACCGAAGTCTAATTTAAACCCTGAATGGAATGCTACTTATTTACTTCTAGCAGAGTGACCTTTAAAGAAAAATCACTAATTAACTGTAGACTATTTCAAATGAGATCAGTATCAGAATATTTGGAACAGACTTATTACCTAATTCACTTATTACCTAATGCCACAAATAGGATAGTCTGATCAATAAACAAACTGCTTAAAAGTACCACAAAGTATCGAACTTTAATCGAATTGAAAATTTCGCTTTTATGATCAATTGTGTCTGAGTTGGATTTGGGTTTTTGACCCGTATACTAATACCAGAAATTGAAAAAGAAGTTTAACGTATGTTTGGTAAAACTGGTTCCTTTATTGTTTATTTACAGTCGTGTAAAGTTGAAAAAAAATTTTTAGTTTGTTTAATCAATTTTGTACTATTAGTTTCAATATGATCTTTTAATTCCAGTTTTTCTAAATCAAGATAGACATATTGATATTTGAAAATAACTTGTAACTCAAGTTTTTTTATTGATCATTTTAATTGGGTAATTGTTTTTGTCGATGAGTTAAGCGAAAAAAAATTTTTTGCTTTTTCCTAAGTTCAAAGTCAGTTTGTTTTGATTAAACCGTTTCATTGTCTTCATCGGCATACTTTTTAATTGTTTAATCAACTTCGATTTTTCAGTCTGCAATACAGCTGTATTATAAGCTCAGTGATGAGCATTTGCATTTTTAATCATATTCGTTATATCGTGTAAAAACCGAATGAAAATTGGTGATCCTTGAAATAAGTCCTGTAGTAGACGGTATATGATTTTTGAGTTTATAATTTGTTTGGGATTTCTTAAACTCAATGTTTCCGATCTGATAAACATGAAATTTGAATTTCATATGCTGGTCCTGCAATACTGTAATAATAACTGTTGTTCAGTATGAGCGTATGATCAACGGTATCGAACACTTTTCCAAAATCAAACAAGACTGCTCGTATCAGGGCGAGGCCCTGAATGTTCCGACTGCCTTTTAAGGTTTATGGAGCAGTAATAAAATTTAAAAAATAAAATTAAAAATTAAAAATTAATAAAATCCCCCCACACGCCATATACAGTACAAAGAATCTAATTCGCTCCTTGTAGCAAAACAATTATGACAAATAGGCTTCTTTCAACCAATTTGGAACAATTTCTAAGAGGGATTAACTATCCGCTTACGCGTTAAAAGCGCGAAATATATCGCGCGTTAATTGTCCCAAATTGGCCAAAATGGCAACCTTTAAACCCCTGTAACTTTACGAAAAATGATCACAGGTGAAATATCTTTTCAAATTTGAGCTCAGGACAACAATACTTTTCGAATGATATAAAAAAAATCCGTCAAAAATGGCTAGTTAAAAAGTCGAAATTTGTCTGAAGAAAAAAAAAACCCACCCCGAGCACAAATATTCCGTTACTTTCGTACCGAAAGTCGGAACAAAAATATTTATATACAGTTTCGATGGATTGGTTATCCCAATCAAAGCTAAATTTTTCAACTAGCGAAAAAGTAGCGTCAACACGTTTTCGTTTTGACGTGAAATTGATCTGAGAATGATGAAGTAATTTTTGCCGAGGAAAAACTTTTAAGTTTTTAATTCAGATTTTTCCTTTAATTGTTTGCCAAGGAGAATTAACATTGAACCTCGTTCTTTACTCGGAGGCCTCAAGTTTCTCCTTTTTTAACTACATGGGTTTTTGTTTTCAAGTTTTTTAAACTCGGGAAAACTGTTCTGCCTGATTTTTAGAAACAAAAGAGTCATAATAGGTCCCAATATTTCTCGTATGATCGGAATAAAAAAGTGATTGATGTTGAGGCAATTGTTTCTTGAGTTTGTTTGATTGCTTAACTGTCACGGGTCTCACTAACAATAGTTTTTCTGTATTTTTTATGACTGAAGTTTGATTTTGAAAAATGTTTTTTTTTTGTTTCTTTGCGAAACTATTGTTAAAAATTCTCCATCTGTGACAATTTTATTAGCAATGGGTGAACTGTTTTTAGCAGTTCCAAAAAGATTGCTTATCGTTTGAAATATTTTTCTCACTGTAGTTTTTTTATGCAGTTTTTCTGATAGAACTCTGTCTTCTTTTTCGATACCAATACAAAAGTTGCGTTTTATTTTCATCTTTAACTTCTGCTTTCCTTTTTTAAGCAACGTATTCTTATTATTGGCTTCTTTTTGATTTGATTGTCATCCAGATGTCTTATTGCGTTTACCGAATTTGACGTTTCAGGGTGTGTTTTATTCAATTTTTAGCAAGCAATGCGTTTAATTGATGAAAATCCCGCTTTGAGTTTAAA